TCTAACCCAGATAAGGACTAGATTTGTTGTAATTCTTTACAAACAGCATTCCTTGACGTGGTAATTATATTTTTGCAATATTAACAGGTGTGCTGTTATAATTTCCTTCCTAAAAGTTATAAATGGAATCAGTTGCCAAACAATTGGTTTACCAAAACTGCTGTTCCTTTAGTAGATGTAGATCCTTCTTTGCAAAAATGCTTTACTTGCCTTTGTACCAAGCCAAAATGGCTGTCATTGTAGATGACATTCAGTTGGCACTTTTAGTCTTTAGTCCTTTTGATCATATGTAATTCATGGTTTGAATTTTTGTATTCACAGCTACATCCTTTGGCAAGTCAGAACTGAAACCTCTTCTACCTTTACTACAAATCATTCCAGATGAATTCTTTCTTTTGGCAAGAAATTCCATGTTAACCTTAACCACAGGTTTGCTGCCTTGGTCTTCAACTTCTGTTTTCTTGGCTTGTTATTTGCATCTTAAGAGAAGTATGTCTTTAACGTAGGTGGCTATGCTGTCTGGATTGTCATATTAATTGCAGTTTCTAACTTTTATAGTTGTCAATAATTTCTTTAGGTGACCATTTGAGGATGCTGATGGATAATGTAGTGAAGGGCATTCCTCTGGGACAATCTGTTGTTGGAAAGCTGTCACAGGATATTGTTGCTGCATCATCTAACCCCTCTGTAAATGCAAATCAGCATATATACCTCTTTTCCTGTGTTTTAGAGTGCATTATACATCTTTCTTTAGTTCATATTAAGAAGAAATTCTGATTTTCATTTACATGCTGCAAATTGTGTAAGATAAATGATGATTTTAATTCACAGATTCTGGTTGAAATCTTACCCAAAGAATTGCTCGAATGGAAGCTACAAATGCTGAAATCTGTTTCTGCATATTCCAACTCTCATCTCAATGCCACAAAAGCTGAAGTGCTATTACTTTGCAGGTAACTTGTTGATTTCACTTTCAGTTTTGAAGAGCTATTGATCAAATATTAAATGGCTTTGTCTAAACTTGAGGTTCTCCTATTTAGTGGCTAATGCACCAAACAGAAAAATGAAGTTAGGAAAAAAAATTATTGAAAGAAGCAGTCAACTGAAAATGGCAGAATCAAAGATTATAAACAAAGAAAGATTGAAAAATATTTCTTCATAACCTAAATGCATAATGCCTACTTCTCTATTGTTGCAATGAGAGAAAAGATATTTACTTGCAGTTTTTATCATCACAGTCCTAAATATGTGCACTGTCACAAACTATGTTGAAGAGCATCTTATCATTCAGACGAATGTAATGTAGCTTATAATGCCATCTGTTTAGGGCAGCACTACAACAGAGTTGACTGTCCAAATTTGAAGTTTATGATCCTCATAATCATCTTTGGTTGAATGAACCATTTGTTTTGTAGTGGAAGAGATCAATTGTTTCCTAGTGAAGAAGAAGGTGAAAGACTATGCCATGCACTCCCAAATTGTGAGATTCGTAAGTTTGATTTAAGCCACCATTTTTTCTTCCTGGTATGTCTCTCTCAAACTGTAGGTCTTGAGAGGAGGAGGGTGTTCTTTTGAGCATCTGAAGTTTCACTTTTTTCCCTTTTATGTCCTAATTTTTACTCTAGTTGTCATCTTAGATTATAAGGTTTTGTGATGTTATAAAATAGTTACTTTGGCCTCTCATGCAGGAAGGTGGTATTGATTTGGTAACAATCATCAAGGGAACTAGCTTCTATCATTGTGGAAAATACCATGACTGTTGTCAGATTACATGCCACCTACACCTCCTGAATTCTAGAAGTTATATGAATCAAATAGGTAAGCATCTTTGGACAAAGCAAATGTCAACCATGTACCAAAAGGCTAGAGACATACCAGTTGTATTCTGTCATGAGGAGGGCACAGAATAACAAGAGCTTACTGTTATGTCAAGAAAAGAGCATATTATGTCAAAGATTAATTAGTGGAATATTGATGACAGTAAAACCTGACACTTATCATGCTCACCATAGGAATTTTATATATGTTTAATTGAATTGCAGTGCCATCACATATAAGTCTTGATTTTGGATTTCTCAACTGACTTTGTTCCTAGATAGATGGTTAAATGCTGCTCTTAGCTCTGTGATGCTCTCAACTACCGAGGATGGGAAGGTGGTGAAGGGCCTTGCCAGGGTTCCATTGGAGGGACCTGTCCTGTACATTGGTTGTCACATGTTACTGGGACTAGAAGTTATTTCCTTGGTATGTGAATTTCTCTCAGAGAAATATCCTCTTGCGAGGGATAGCACATCCATTGCTGTTTGAAAGATTGAGAGAAGGCAGGTTACCTGATGTATCAACCTTTGACTCAATATGATTAATGGGGGCAGTTCCTGTTTCAGGAACAAATTTCTACAAGCTTATGTCTTCAAAATCTCATAGCCTGTTGTTCCCAGGAGGGGTGGGCGCTGCTCTTCACAGGAAGGTAACATATTGAATATTTAACTATAGTATTGTGCAGCTGTGATAACTCAACTCTAGGTAGCTAGGCAGATTGATTAATTAATTTTTCCAAGGTGAAGCATACAAGTTATTTTGACCAGAAAAGTCCAAGGGTTTGTGAGGATGGCTGCTAGATTTGGAGCCAAAATAGTAGCATTTGGTGTTGTTGGAGCAGATGATTTTGCTGAAGTAATTTTTTATTATGGTGATCAAACGAAGATACCTTACTTTAGGGATTTTATAGAAGATTTGACAGAAGAGGCTGTGTTATTGAGGTATATATTTTGATTGAGTCTTAAATTACAAAATGCAATCAATGTCCATTTGATGAGCTTTCTGTAATCTTGAAATGATAGGAATGAAGGAGATGGCGAGGTGTCAAACCAACAACTTTATACTAACCATGACTGGCACCAAGGTTTCCAGGAATATATTATTTTTATTTTGGGAAACCAATTGAAACCCAAGGTATTTACATATATAGTCTGTTTACATTAATTTATGGAGTAATTTTTTTTTATTTATGGTTTGGCTCATGGCTGGCTTTAATTGAAACGTTAAAAACTGTTTGTTTGGTTTTATTATATAAAAGGAAGAAAGCAAGAACTGAAAGATAGGGAGAAATGTTATCAACTGTATTTATATAGATGCATTGCTTAATTGAAGCAGAAAAGAGAAGATCCATACAAGAATATTGTACCCTGGCTAATGCACCAGGCCACACATGGTTCCAACTCTCAAGCTCCTTCCTTTGACCTTTAATCTTGTTATTGAGTGGTGTTGAATCTCCTGGGAGTAACTTAACAAGTACTCGTATAACTTGACACCGATTAAAACCTTAATATGGATCATTTGAAAAATAATTATATAGAAACTCTAAAAAAAGGTCATTAGTAAATTTCCGTTTTTTTTGGTCTAGCTATAGCCTTTCTATATTTGAGTTTGTAAAAGTATTAAATAAAAAATTTATGACACTGCATGTCACCTCAAATCTAAGGCAACTTACGGCAATTGAGGACTAAACTACTTTTAGGCATCGCTAAGATTCGATCCGAGATTGTTTAGAGTGACTTAAGATGGTTTTTCATAAATTATAAATAACAACTTGAAGGATTTTTTCAATTTGTGCCATTAACATGTAGTTATACATCCTTCTGATATGAATTTGTATTGAAAAAAAAAAGAGTCATATAGATTATTTTAATTATAGATTATTTTGATTAGTCAAGTGATTAAATAAAGATCAACTTTGATTTTTTAAAGCCAATTGATATTAAAAAATTTCCTTAAACATGTGCCCTACAAGTTTAGAAAAAAAAGAAGAAGAAGATAATTTGAAATCTATGCGTAAAAGTGAAGATATGAAATGTAAATGATGATATACTTATATTTGATCAAATTTAAAATAAATAATGTATTGGCTAAGCTCTTGTTGGTAGAGATTATAGTATCTCATGTGTATACATGGTTGTGCTATTGTTAGGGCAAGGTCATATTGTAAAATTAAAGTCATTATGAATTTCTTAGCTTCGAAATGGATGGCATGTCTTTTATTGTACCAGAAAAAAATTAATCTTCTTCTATGTGAAAACTAACATGAAAATACCTTAATTGTTTAAAAAAAAAAAAGCCTTCATCAGTTGATGGGACAAATTAAAGTCCATATTTATTTTTCTTTTCTCATGCATGTTTTTCAAAAATAATAAAAAAAATATTCACAAACTTTCATCATCCAACCCAAAAACCCATTTGATTAATAAAACTGTCAAAAAGGACTCATAATTTTTTCTTTTTATTATTTCGTTCCTTCAACAAAAAAGAAAGAAAAATAGAAATCAAGAGAGAAGTTGGAATCCGCAAGTTTGAAATACAACAACCGGAGAAAGAAGAAATAATCAAGATCATGCAATCTATATATCATAAAATACTACTTAATTACTACTTTGATATATTAGAACAAAGCTGAGGGAACTAACATACATCATCATCATCCTTCACTTTACACTTGGTAAGATGAGGACAAAAAAAAGAAAAAAGTTGAAACCCCATAAACATATGGAAACGAACACCAAACAAGAGATTCAAGAATCCCATTAGCCCTAAGCACTTTCATTCTCATCAAATCCCATTAACTTGTTCCATTTCCTTTCAGAAACAAAAAAAGAAAGAAGTTAAGAGAAAGAGAAACGTCCTGCTTCACAGGCGGAGGGTTAGATCAATATCGGCAGAAGAATCATCCACATCCGCGGTAGGGGAGAGAGCGTCGGGAGTAGTCGAAACGCCCAGAAAACTCTGATGAGGGACCGAGCTGGAAGGAAGGTGCTGCCGCGGCTGGATGGGTTCCGGCCACACGTTAACAAACCTGGCTGCACCCACGGTAGGGTCCATGCCCGGAGAGTGGGGAAATGGTATCGATGAGGTGTGTTGTTGATGTTGATCAGCAGGGAACAGAGCAGGTGGATGGTATCGCTGCTGGTGGGTGGCCGGAAGGTTTCGCTGAGCTGCTCGCTCGTGTTTGTGAGCGTTCTGGTGCCCGCCGAGCGCTTGAGGGGAGTCAAAGAGCCTGGAGCAGTGGGGACAACGAAATAGCGGAGATGAGGTTATGGGCGGCTGGATGTGTTCCGGCCACACGTTAAAACACACAGCTGCTTCGTATTGCTGCTGATGAGTGGCCAGAAAGTTTCGATAAGCTGCTCGCTCGTGTCTGTGAGCGTTCTGATGCCCGCCGAGCGCTTGAGGGGAGTCAAACAGCCGGGAACAGTGGGGACAAGGAAATCCCGGAGATGAGGGGATGGACGGAGCTGCTGCATGGCTGGTGGGTCTTGCACCAGAAGGCAGGTTGCTTCTTGAGCGGTCTGCCATGTTGAAAGTTGCAGATAGGGGAGGAGGAGGAGGAGACGTGGGTGGGCAAATTTGGTTGGGTACGGTGGGTTATTTATAGCAGGGTATTGAAACCTTAAACTGCAGAAATTGAGAGAAACCAATGAGAAAAAGACCAAAAAATTTACAAAGAAACTGATTATTTGGATCAATGAATGAAATGTTCAATTACCTGAAAGATATAAAATTAACGCAACAGCACCCAACACAGAGCAGTGACCTACTGAGAGACCACTGAAGGTGCTCAGTTGCAGCGGGGAGCTTGTTGTTGTTGCTGATGATGGAGGAAGGAGAAGTGGGAGTGGGTTGATGGGAATGGAAAGAGAATGAGGGGGGTATTTGTAGGACGGAAAAGCCAATGGAACCGTGTCCATTGGGACCCGCCCACGCCATCATGAAAAGACTCCTCCATTGGTTTCTACTTTTCCCAAAAGTTTGTGACTAAAGAAAATTAGGGCCTTGATATCATGAGGCTGCCCTTACTCAGCTCCCATGAGCTCACTCCCACCCCTACACCACCCACCCCGTCCTATATTGGTTATCACATGTTAATGGGACTCGAAGTTATTCCCTTGGTATCTGAATTTCTTACTCAGAAAAATATCCTCTTGCGAGGGATAGCACATCCAATATTGTTTGAAAGATTGAGAGAAGGCAGGTTACCAGATGTATCAACCTTTGACTCAATAGGATTAATGGGTTCAGTTCCTGCTTCTGGAACAAATTTCTACAAACTTTTGTCTTCAAAATCTCATAGCCTGTTGTTCCCTGGAGGGGTGCGGGAGGCTCTTCACAGGAAGGTAACATATTAAATATCTAGCCATAGTATTGTGCAGCTGTGATAACTCAACTCTAGATAGCTAGGCATATTGATTAATTAATTTTTCTAGGGTGAAGCATCGGCCAGTAAAGTCCGAGAGTTTCTGAGGATGGCTGCTACATTTGGAGCCAAAATAGTACCATTTGGTGTTATTGGAGAAGATGATTTTGCTGAAGTAATTTTTTATTATAATGATCAAATGAAGATACCTTACTTTAGGGATTTTATAGAAGATTTGACAGAAGAGGCTGTGGTATTGAGGTATATATTCTGATCTAGTCTTAAATTACAAAATGCAATCAATGTCCATTTGATGAGCTTTCTGTAATCTTGAAAATGATAGGAATGAAGGAGATGGCAAGGTGTCAAACCAGCAACTTTACCAACCATGACTGGCACCAAGGTTTCCAGGAATATATTATTTTTATTTTGGGAAACCAATTGAAACCCAAGGTTGTACATATATTGTCAATTTACATTAATTTATGGAGTAATTTTTTTAATTTATGGTTTGGCTCATGGCTGGCTTTAATTGAAATGTTAGAAACTGTTTGTTTGGTTTTATTATATAGAAGGAAGAAAGCAGGAACTGAAAGACGAAGAAATGTTAAAACTTTAATATGCATCATTTTTTTGTTTGTAATACGCATAATTTCTTCTAGAAATTCTATGATACAGCTATAAAAATAATTATATTTAAACTCTGAAAAAAGGTCATTAGTAAATTTCAGTCTTTTTGGTCTAGCTATAGCCTTTCTATATTTGAGTTTGTAAAAGTATTAGATCAAAAATTTATGACACTGCATGTCACCTCAAATCTAAGGTAACTTACAACAATTGAGGACTAAACTACTTTTAGGTATTGCTAAGATTCAATCTGAGGTTGTTTAGAGTGACTTGAGATAGTTTTTCATAAATTATAAATAACAATTTGAAGGATTTTTTCAATTTGTGCCATTAACATGTGGTTATACATCCTTCTGATATTAATTTGTATTGAAAATAATAAAAAAAAGTCATAGATTATTTTAATTAGTCAAGTGATTAAATAAAGATCAACTCTAATCTTTTAAAGCCAATTAATATTAAAAAAATTTGTCATTAAACATGTGCCCTACACATTCAAAAAAAGAAAAAAAGAAAAGAAAAAAGATAATTTGAAATCTATGTGTAAAAGTGGAGATATGAAATGTAAACGATGATATACTTATATTTGATCAAATTTATAATAAATAATGCATTGGCTACGCTCTTGTTGGTAGAGATTATAGTATGTCATGTATATACATGGTTGTGCTATTGTTAGGGCAAGGTCATATGGAAAAATTAAGGTCAGTATGAACTACACTAGCTATGATGCCTATTATTCTCTAAACGCAAATAGATGTGTTCATTTGTCATATTTCAATGAACATAGTTGCAATTATGCTGACTTGTTGAGTAAGATTTGATTTTTTAGAAAGATTAAAGGAGTAATTTTTAACGAATTTCTTAGTTTCGATATAGATGGCATGTCTTTGATTGTACCAGAAAAAAATTAATCTTATCATACGTGAAAACTAATCTGAAGATACTCAACTGTTTTAAAAAAAAAAAAAAAACCTTCATCAGTTGATGGGGCAAATTGAAGTCCATATTTATTTTTCGTTTCTCATGTTTTTCAAAAAAAAAAAAAAAAAAACAAACTTTCATCATCCAACTCAAAAACCCATTTGATTAATAAAACTGTCAAAAAGTACTCATAATTTTTTCTTTTTATTAT